CACAACGCTGGTGATATTATATTCCATATTCTATGTTTACTCTTACTGAAACACATGATCAACATAAATCGATATCAACTAGTTTCATTTTAAGCAACTCTCTTTGTGTAAATGGTTTTATATAAAAAATTATATTGAAACTCGAGGTGTTTTGTATCTTGGTCAGATTGTCTATATTGTAGAAATATGGTCTTCCAGATTATATTATCATTCAATTCGCTGTCCCATTTGTCACAGACTTTAGGAAATTTATTTTCAGATATGAAGTGATCATAAAATCACCTTGAGCCTTTACTAGATTTGTTCAAATAATTCCAACGGGAACATATTGACAATTTTGATTTAGTTGTTCGTATAATTTTCCTTTTTTTGATATACTGAGAAGAACACGATTTAGATCAAAGAACCCTACCCCGAACATCAAATTTTGCTTTAAGTTCTGAAAATGTTAGGAAATCAGGGTCATGACAAATATCCTAAATATGTAATATTCCTTTTTGGGACCAGTTAAATATAATCAAATTAGGGTGATTACACAGGTGATAAAGCCAAATAGGTTGCATAAAATTTCATTTATATCGTTGTTCCATTCATGGGCTTTAATATATCTATTCCATGCATTGAGTGCATCTTTCCAAAACGGGTTTTCGATTTTGTATTGTTTACTAATATTTGGACCTAATTGAAGAATGTCTTTTAAAGGGAATCCAACTAAACTATTGCAATTAGACTTTGACACGTATCTTCTTAAACATGCAATTGTTTGGTCAACCAATAAATGTTTTGACATCAACCATTTTTATACCATCAACTTCATTTTTGCGCATTAAATTAATTCGCTTTATCTTGTCGTTCTTATCAATCCATATCAATAGAAATGATTAATTATTCAGTTTTGTTATGAAAACATTCAGATGATTGGGAAGAGATCTAAGAACATGAACTAGGACTGCGCAATACAACCGGTTTACCGGTATTTACCGGTTCAGACATGAAATCGATACGTATTGCGATACCCGGATCGAAAACCGGTTTTTCAACAAGCATCCGGAAAACTTCGTAACATTCTGAAATCTTCAGATATTTCCTTTTTTCACACCGGAAATCAAGTTAAGTTCGGTTTGAAGTTGTTTTCTTAATTTTTGTTCAAGTGTTTCGCAATGTTTAGGATCTGAATGTTATATATATATTTACTCATTATTGACCAGTGATCCCTGATATATTCCTGACCAGGTCAAGTTGCTGTCTAAAATCTCAGGGCTTTTTCGACAGTGGAGAAACTAGTTCAAACTAGTAACCACTGTGTTGATGTTAAATTGTTCTTTTCCTTGTTTCCTTCATTTTAACATGTTTTTTATTAAAGCTTAATCAGGCATAGTGATTGTGTTGTGGTTTTGCTTTATAAATCAAGCATTAACTCAATTAAAAGTATTTTTTTATGAAAAACATATTCTTGCAATATATTGCAATACGTATCGCAATATATGCTTTCGAATCACAATATATCGCATGTGAAAATTCTCTGCAATACCCACCCCTAACATGAACTATAGATGATAAAGCTGAACGTTTAATAATGGTTATTTTCCCGTTTTATCCAGTTCAAAAGAATTCTTTTGATATGTTCAAGTCTCTTCTTTGTATTGATCACCCACTCGCTCACTACCCTAAGGTGTGCACGTGAAGCACGTGTGTGTTTCAGTGAATTCAGATATTATTTTGTTTTGATATTGATTTACAAAACGTAAGTAATTTACTTATTTGGTCTCTGGATTTCCGAATCACGTTCTTGATGTTTTTTACATATTAGAAAGCACGACCTACATGTATGCTGTGACATTTGATTTACTCTCCTGGATAGAATTATCTAATTAAGGTTTGAGTTGATTCTTAAATTTGTCATAAAGAAGATTCGAAATATCGTCATTGTATGTTATATACCATGATTTCCTAAGTTTCTCTTTCTCCATGGGGATGCGGGGCCTTTACCTATCTGTAGACATAGTCCATGGTAAAACGGATATTGCTTTGTTTTTATCTATCTGTCCTTTATTATAATTAAACATAAAACCTTCACTTGGACACAAAAACATTCATGTTCAGTTAAATATAAAACGAGTAGGCTTTTGCCTGTATAATGGCTCCCTTTAAGTCAAACTCATGAGGATTAGCTATCCTTCTGAACATTTTGAAAATCTTACTATCGGAGAGTGCCGTCGAGATATGATCCTCGATAGTATTTAACTTCACTTCGGCCAGAATACTTCAATGCCTTCTTTTGCAATCAACATTGAATAAATATAAGAGCAATTCCTGCTAACCCTGAGAAGACGCTATTTCCATACCTAGCACGACAAAATCGGCGATGATAGTCGACAATAAACTGACATCGGACACGCTGAGTCCCATGGTGAGTGCAGTGTCCATGCCGTCTATAGCATTAACGGCTCTGTTGTAATTTTTTGTAATCCGAGCCACTCCTTTTCTAGTTGGTGTTTTTTGTCCACTGTTTTCAATTTTTCAGCCACTTCATCTATGGCAGGGTACAATCCTATCTTATAATATAGGTTATGAAATAACTTTCAATTGATTATCAGTCAATCTTTTTTTATGAGAATACCTTAAGCTGATGAAGTACATATGTTTGGATAAATAAAAAAATCCTGAGTGAAATGGGACACTTCATATTTTGAAAAACCATGATCCCACAGAGGCTTGTAGAGGGGACTGTTCCTCGTTTTACATAAATACGACAACGTTAATAATTATTGTGATCACTATTGTATTTTTTTAACCCATCCAAAAGTTTTGCATCTTCTGCGGGGGAATTACAAGAAAGAGTTCAATGATAAGTGTAGAGCCTTGTACAACATTTACCTACAAATCTGGAAATTGAAAAAAGTTGTTAACTTATAAATTTAACTATTCATTTGTTTTCCGGGTGGGTGGTTAACATATTGCTTGTTTTATCTGGTGTTTCTGTTACAAACGTTGTCTTTGGTAAAGGATAATAGCCCCGAGTATAATCCCATTATTTCATATTTCGGTGACAAACCGATATATGGGTATTAAAGGGTGATATTGATTAACCAATCCAATTAAGATTTGAGTATCACTTCATTTCCTCTGCAAACATTGTTTTGTAAGTGCAAGGCGTATAATGCATCTTCCGCACCGGTTTATCGAATCCTTGCATGTCCCAGAGATCGGAGATCGCGATGGTAGCGCATTTTTCTCGGGTGTTGCATTCCTGGACCAGAAGCTTCGACCATGATAATACTAGTCTTCAATTGATTTTCTGACAATTACTCGTGTGTAAACTTTAAGTAGATTAGATGGATATTATTAGGTAAAAATATCTTAGCGAGCGAAATTTTTCTATCCAAGGTAATGGTGAACCCCTCTAGACTTGCGTAAGAATTTTTTTCTGCCTGCATATAAATCGCGCATACACCGTTACAATTTCAACATCTTCGCTTGCTGATGCCTCCCCAAGCAAGACTTTGATACAGAGCATAAATATGATGGTATCATTTCTAAGATAGTTGACATTTTGTAAACTAGTATTTGAGACATTCGGTCAACTCACCAGCATATGACCTGCTTTATCCCGTATTGTACTCACGAGCACACTCTTTCTTTGCGATGGAATGTAAGATAGGAATAAAATCCCATCATTGATGACTTTCATTAAATAATGGTCCTTATTCTCTGTACGCACATAGGATGCAACGAGTGTGAAATTGAGTAGCCAGTCGATTTTGGGTGAGATCATCTTCCATTGGTTATCATATGTACGGATGAGATTGTACAAGGTGTTTTTTTTAAGGTATTGCATTCTAGGGCTGCGCAATGTAACCTGTTTACCGGTATTTACCGGTTCAGACATGAAATCGATACGTATTGCGATACCCGGATCGAAAACCGGTTTTTCGACCTGCATTTGGAAAACTTCGTAACACTCGGAAATCTTAGGATATTTCCGTTTTTCACACCGGAAATCAAGTTAAGTTCGGTTTGAAGTTGTGTTCTTAAGTTTTGTTCAAGTGATTCGCAATGTTTTTGATCTGAATGTTATATAGATATATATTTACTCATTATTGACCAGTGATCCCTGATATGTCCTCCTGACCAGGTCAAGTTGCTGTCTAAAATCTCAGGGCTTTTTCGACAGTGGAGAAACTAGTTCAAACTAGTAACCACTGTGTTGATGTTAAATTGTTCTTTTCCTTGTTTCCTTCATTTTAACATGATTAAAAGTTTTTATTAAAGCTTAATCAGGCATAGTGATTTTGTTGTGTTTTTGCTTTATAAATCAAGCATTAACTCGATTATAAGTAATTTTATATGAAAAAAATGTTCTTGCAATATATTGCAATACGTATCGCAAAATATGCTTTCGAATTACAATATATCGCAATATGAAACTTCTCTGCAATACCCACCCCTAGTGATGCAGGGCCCAGATAGCTACAGCTGCAGTGAAACCTACGACCAGGGTTATGGTGCTGAAGATTTATGTAAGACAATCAGTATGAACTCGGATTCGAGCCCACAATGATAGGTTTCTGGCGTGACAAAGGGTCGCAACTCTGCATTGCTAATTGTGGGACCCAATAGTGAGTATCCGAGGTGGAGTGAATATGGTTTCTTTTTTTCTTGCCGAGTGGTTGAAACGAAAGCTATCGAGGGAGAAAGACAACTTTAATTATCTACATTGATGAAACTCATTCCTGGTGTCCTCTCCATGACACTGCTGAGTTCCTAAAGCACCCTAACAAGGCTCGCTGACTTGGTTGACACATGTCATCGGTTCCCAATTGCGCAGATCGATGCTCATGCTGTTGATCACTGGATTGTCTGGTCCAGACTCGATTATTTACAGACAGCTGCCATATAGCTGGAATATTGCTGAGTGTGGCGTAAAACTAAACTCACTCTCACTCACTGTTCCTGGGCACTGGTGTACTTGTGGTAAGTCTAAAGGGCTAACAAATGGATAACCCGATAATTGCATTTATTTATCATATATTGACACAAATCTGCCGGTACATTCTACTGGCCGGAATTGTGAGACTGTCCATTGGATATTGTAATGGTCAGAGCCTGAGGTGCAATGATGCTCAGAAGTTCTCTGGGAAATGAAGACATGTCCACTGATATTGTTGGTTCAATTGTTGACTCACCGCTGTTATTCCTGCTTCGTGTGATGTTATCAGGTAAAGGGGACACTAGGTCAAAATCACCATGTCTGTTTATCACAAATGACCGTAACATTTCATCTAGTTCACTTGAAGGTGTCTGGTGACCACTTCTTAGATTCTCAGTGTTTGTGCTGGGGACAGACTGAACTACTAAAGCACAATTGACTCCCTGTGAATTTGGGCCCGTTTGACCATGACTTGAGTCATGACATTGACCTACATTTTGCAGATGAGCAAATTCACTTAATCCATGGCTATCAAGTTCATTGAAGTTGATCTTGGTGGAATCGTCTGTTGCAATACTGGAGGCTGATAAAGAAGGTTTCTGTTCTTGACTATGTTGACGAACTGCACTTAAACTATGAAAGGGCACTGGCCCAATGGAGGTTTCAACAGCGGAATTAACTGTACTGCACTGGGTGACATTGTCAGACTGAGAGGCAGCGTTACATACACTAGAGGGATCAGATGTTTCATTTTTGTGTCTTTGCAATGATTGAGTGGAGCTGCATTGCTCCTTACCAGGAGGCATACAAGTCAGAGATTCAGCAGATTTCGCTCCTTGTGAAGGAGATGTAGATACCTCCTTCCCCAGTAGTTGACTCTGTTGAGATGAAACTACACTGTTTTCCTTGGTTTCTGGAGTTTGGGCTGATACTTTGTTGACCTGCTGCACAGAAGCCTCTGTATGCCGCTGCGACTGGACAAACATCTGTTGGAGCTGTTCAAGACTTATAGGACTCCCAACAGGGAGCCGAGCAGGAACACAGATGTTCTGGATGCCTCTCTGTTGCAACTGTTCAGGATTCAAAGGGGCCACAGTTACAAACTGGGGTAGCTGGGGCCTGCTTGTGTCATGAGGGTAAAATGGAACCTGCTGGTTCTGTGGCTGCTGTGCTCTTTGAGCTGGCTGCAGTACTGGAATTCTTAGACCCTGCAGGTTGGGTCGAATGTTCTGCAACTGAATGGGCTGGGCTACAACCTGAGATAGTTGGTGTGGATGAAGATTAATTACTTGATGGATCTGGTTGCCAATCTTAACCATATTTGATTGGTCAGTAGTTTGAGCTTGAGCTATTTCATCTTTGGCAAAATGTCTCAATACGTTCTGTTCTGAAATGTGGATGGTTTGGCCAGTCATTTCAGTGGATTGATTTGTCTTTGTCACGTGTGATTTCGGCTTCTGTTCAGACACTTGCTGTGATGATGTGTTTTGAACCTCAGCTTGGGTTGTGGATGTCGTGGTATTAGACTTGCTGGAACTTGCCTGCAGCACATATTGAGGTTGAGCTAGTTTTATCTGAATATTAGGTGCCTGCAGATGCAATACATTTGACTGACGATTACCAAGAACTGGAACCTGAAATTGTGGATGACCACTGGAGTTGCTGTACTGCTGCTGGCTCTGGGATGGCACCTGTTGTCCAGCATTCAACTGTTGCCCCAAGCGACCAACTGTCATCGGCTGAGACAATACAGAACCCTTCTGTGTGTTTGATACATTGGGACTGGTTGAGGTTGTTGTCAGGCCTGGAGTGAGAGTTTCCAGCTGGCTGTTCTGGGTGTTCTGGGAGTGTGTGGTCGGGAGTTGGTTCAGAGTACTCTGAGCTGCATTGGCCGGGAACTGTGGACTGTTGGTAGCTGCTACCTGGAACTGACCCAGCTGTGATAACATCCCTGAGGCCAGAGTCTGGAGAAAACAACAATGTAACACGTTGCATGACACCATTCAAAACCAGTACGAGAGCTATAATGGTTACTGCTGCAAGTGGTAAGATACTTTGTAGAACCATATTTCAGAGATGGGTCAGAATGTCTGTGTATTCTGAGAGGGCAAGTGATGCAAGTGTCATCAGTCATTTGGGAGTTTAGTTAGTATTCTGTAGGGGGTGTTGGGGTCTTAGTGTGTGTTCTGTGGGGTGTTGGGAGTTTAGTTAGTATTCTGTAGGGGGTGTTGGGGTCTTAGTGTGTGTTCTGTGGGGTGTTGGGGTCTTAGTGTGAGTTCTGTGGGGTGTTGGGAGTTTAGTTAGTATTCTGTAGGGGTGTTGGGGTCTTAGTGTGTGTTCTGTAGGGGTCGTTGGGGTCTTAGTGTGTGTTCTGTGGGGTGTTGGGAGTTTAGTTAGTATTCTGTAGGGGGTGTTGGGGTCTTAGTGTGTGTTCTGTTGGGTGTTGGGGTCTTGGTGTGTGTTCTGTGGGGTGTTGGGGTCTTGGTGTGTTTTTCTGTGGGGTGTTGGGAGTTTAGTTAGTATTCTGTAGGGGGTGTTGGGGTCTTAGTCTGTGTTCTGTTGGGTGTTGGGGTCTTGGTGTGTGTTCTGTGGGGTGTTGGGGTCTTAGTGTGTGTTCTGTAGGGGTCGTTGGGGTCTTAGTGTGTGTTCTGTGGGGTGTTGGGAGTTTAGTTAGTATTCTGTAGGGGGTGTTGGGGTCTTAGTCTGTGTTCTGTTGGGTGTTGGGGTCTTAGTGTGTGTTCTGTGGGGTGTTGGGAGTTTAGTTAGAATTCTGTAGGGGGTGTTGGGGTCTTAGTGTGTGTTCTGTTGGGTGTTGGGGTCTTAGTGTGTGTTCTGTGGGGTGTTGGGGTCTTAGTGTGTGTTCTGTGGGGTGTTGGGGTCTTAGTGTGTGTTCTGTGGGGTGTTGGGGTCTTAGTGTGTGTTCTGTGGGGTGTTGGGGTCTTGGTGTGTGTTCTGTGGGGTGTTGGAGTCTTAGTGTGTGTTCTGTGGGGTGTTGGGGTCTTAGTGTGTGTTCTGTGGGGTGTTGGGAGTTTAGTTAGTATTCTGTAGGGGGTGTTGGGGTCTTAGTGTGTGTTCTGTGGGGTGTTGGGGTCTTGGTGTGTGTTCTGTGGGGTGTTGGGGTCTTGGTGTGAGTTCTGTGGGGTGTTGGGAGTTTAGTTAGTATTCTGTAGGGGGTGTTGGGGTCTTAGTGTGTGTTCTGTGGGGTGTTGGGGTCTTAGTGTGTGTTCTGTGGGGTGTTGGGGCCTTGGTGTGTGTGTTCTGTGGGGTGTTGGGGTCTTTGTGTGTGTTCTGTGGGGTGTTGGGAGTTTAGTTAGTACTCTGTAGAAGTGTTAGGGGTCTTAGTGTGTGTTCTGTGTGGTGTTGGGAGTTTAGTTAGTACTCTGTAGGGGCGTTGGGGTCTTAGTGTGTGTGTTCTGTAGGGGCGTTGGTAGTTTAGTTAGTATTCTGTAGGGGGTGTTGGGGTCTTAGTGTGTGTTCTGTGGGGTGTTGGGGTCTTAGTGTGAGTTCTGTGGGGTGTTGGGGTCTTAGTGTGTGTTCTGTGGGGTGTTTGGAGTTTAGTTAGTATTCTGTAGGGGGTGTTAGGATTTTAGTGTGGGGTGTTGGAGTCTAAGCGCGTGTTCTGTGGGGTGTTGGGAGTTTAGTTAGTACTCTGTAGGGGGTGTTGGGGTCTTAGTGTGTGTTCTGTGGGGTGTTGGGAGTTTAGTTAGTACTCTGTAGGGGGTGTTGGGGTCTTAGTGTGTGTTCTGTGGGGTGTTGGGAGTTTAGTTAGTACTCTGTAGGGGGTGTTGGGATCTCAGTGCGTGTTCTGTGGGGTGTTGGGAGTTTAGTAAGTACTCTGTAGGGGGTGTTGGGGTGTTAGTGTGAGTTGTTGGAGTGTAGTTAGTGTTCTGTAGGGGTGTTAGGGTCTTAGTGTGTGTTCTGTGGGGTGTTGGGGTCTTAGTGTGTGTTCTGTGGGGTGTTGGGAGTTTAGTTAGTATTCTGTAGGGGTGTATGGGGTCTTAGTGTGTGTTCTGTGGGGTGTTGGGAGTTTAGTTAGTACTCTGTAGGGGTGTTGGGGTCTTAGTGTGTGTTCTGTAGGGGGGGTCTTTGTGTGTGTTCTGTGGGATGTTGGGAGTTTAGTTAGTATTCTGTAGGGGTGTTGAGGTCTTAGTGTGTGTTCTGTGGGGTGTTGGGGTCTTGGTGTGTGTTCTGTGGGGTGTTGGGAGTTTAGTTAGTATTCTGTAGGGGGTGTTGGGGTCTTAGTGTGTGTTCTGTGGGGTGTTGGGGTCTTGGTGTGTGTTCTGTGGGGTGTTGGGGTCTTAGTGTGTGTTCTGTGGGGTGTTAGGAGTTTAGTTAGTATTCTGTAGGGGTGTTAGGGTCTTAGTGTGTGTTCTGTAGGGGTGTAGGGGGTCTTAGTGTGTGTTCTGTGGGGTGTTGGGAGTTTAGTTAGTACTCTGTAGAAGTGTTGGGGTCTTAGTGTGTGTGTTCTGTAGGAAGTGTTAGGGTCTTTGTGTGTGTTCTGTGGGATGTTAGGAGTTTAGTTAGTATTCTGTAGAAGTGTTGAGGTCTTAGTGTGTGTTCTGTGGGGTGTTAGGGTCTTGGTGTGTGTTCTGTGGGGTATTAGGAGTTTAGTTAGTATTCTGTAGAAGTGTTAGGGTCTTAGTGTGTGTTCTGTGGGGTGTTAGGGTCTTGGTGTGTGTTCTGTGGGAAGGGTGTTAGGGTCTTAAGTGTGTGTTCTGTAGGGTGTTAGGAGTTTAGTTAGTATTCTGTAGGGGTGTTGAGGGTCTTAGTGTGTGTGTTCTGTTGGGGTCGTTGGGGTCTTAGTGTGTGTTCTGTGGGGTGTTGGGAGTTTAGTTAGTATTCTGTAGGGGTGTTGGGGTCTTAGTGTGTGTTCTGTTGGGTGTTGGGAGTCTTGGTGTGTGTTCTGTGGGGTGTTGGGGTCTTGGTGTGTTTTTCTGTGGGGTGTTGGGAGTTTAGTTAGTATTCTGTAGAGTGTGTTGGGGTCTTAGTCTGTGTTCTGTTGGGTGTTAGGGTCTTAGTGTGTGTTCTGTGGGGTGTTGGGGTCTTAGTGTGTGTTCTGTAGGGGTCGTTAGGGTCTTAGTGTGTGTTCTGTGGGGTGTTGGGAGTTTAGTTAGTCTTCTGTAGGGGGTGTAGGGGTCTTAGTGTGTGTTCTGTGGGGTGTTGGGAGTTTAGTTAGTACTCTGTAGGGGTGTTAGGGTCTTAGTGTGTGTTCTGTTGGGTGTTAGGAGTTTAGTTAGTACTCTGTAGGAGGTGTTAAGTGTAGTGTGTGTTCTGTAGGGGTCGTTAGGAGTCTTGTGTGTGTGTTCTGTGGGATGTTGGGAGTTTAGTTAGTATTCTGTAGGGGTGTTGAGGTCTTAGTGTGTGTTCTGTTGTGGGTGTTAGGGTCTTGGTGTGTGTTCTGTGGGGTGTTAGGAGTTTAGTTAGTATTCTGTAGAAGTGTTGAGGGTCTTAGTGTGTGTTCTGTGGGGTGTTGGGGTCTTAGTGTGTGTTCTGTGGGGTGTTGGGGTCTTAGTGTGTGTTCTGTGGGGTGTGGGGAGTTTAGTAGTATTCTGTAGGGGTGTTAGGGTCTTAGTGTGTGTTCTGTAGGGGTAGTTAGGGTCTTAGTGTGTGTTCTGTAGGGTGTTGGGAGTTTAGTTAGTATTCTGTAGAGGTGTTGGGGTCTTAGTGTGTGTTCTGTTGGGTGTTGGGGTCTTGGTGTGTGTTCTGTGGGGTGTTAGAGTCTTGGTGTTTTCTGTGGGGTGTTGGGAGTTTAGTTAGTATTCTGTAGGGGTGTTGGGGTCTTAGTCTGTGTTCTGTTGGGTGTTGGGGTCTTGGTGTGTGTTCTGTGGGGTGTTGGGGTCTTAGTGTGTGTTCTGTAGCAAAGTCATTAGGGTCTTAGTGTGTGTTCTGTGGGGTGTTGGGAGTTTACTTAGTTAGTAGAAGTGTTAGGGTCTTAGTCTGTGTTCTGTTGGGTGTTGGGGTCTTGGTGTGTGTTCTGTGGGGTGTTGGGAGTTTCTTAGTATTCTGTAGGGGTGTTGGGGTGTTAGTGTGTGTTCTGTTGGGTGGGGTCTTAGTGTGTGTTCTGTGGGGTGTTGGGGTCTTAGTGTGTGTTCTGTGGGGTGTTGGGGTCTTAGTGTGTGTTCTGTTGGGTGTTGGGGTCTTAGTGTGTGTTCTGTGGGGTGTTGGGGGTCTTAGTGTGTGTCTTAGTGTGTGTTCTGTGGGGTGTTGGGGTCTTGGTGTGTGTTCTGTAGGGTGTTGGAGTCTTAGTGTGTGTTCTGTGGGGTGTTGGGAGTTTAGTTAGTATTCTGTAGGGGTGTTGGGGTCTTGGTGTGTGTTCTGTGGGGTGTTGGAGTCTTGGTGTGTGTTCTGTGGGGTGTTGGGGTCTTAGTGTGTGTTCTGTGGGGTGTTGGAGTCTTAGTGTGTGTTCTGTGGGGTGTTGGGGTCTTAGTGTGTGTTCTGTGGGATGTTGGGGTCTTGGTGTGTGTGTTCTGTGAGGGTGTTGGGGTCTTAGTGTGTGTGTTCTGTGGGGTGTTGGGGTCTTAGTGTGTGTTCTGTGGGGTGTTGGGGTCTTAGTGTGTGTTCTGTGGGGTGTTGGGGTCTTGGTGTGTGTTCTGTGGGGTGTTGGAGTCTTAGTGTGTGTTCTGTGGGGTGTTGGGAGTTTAGTTAGTATTCTGTAGGGGGTGTTGGGGTCTTGTGTGTGTGTTCTGTGGGGTGTTGGAATCTTGGTGTGTGTTCTGTGGGGTGTTGGGGTCTTAGTGTGTGTTCTGTGGGGTGTTGGAGTCTTAGTGTGTGTTCTGTGGGGTGTTGGGGTCTTAGTGTGTGTTCTGTGGGGTGTTGGAGTCTTAGTGTGTGTTCTGTGGGGTGTTGGGGTCTTAGTGTGTGTTCTGTGGGGTGTTTGGCTCTCAGTGTGTGTTCTGTGGGGTGTTTGGCTCTCAGTGAGCGTTCTGTGGGGCGTTGGGGTCTTGGTGTGTGTTCTGTGGGGCATTGGGGTCTTGGAGTGTGTGTGTTCTGTGGGGTGTTGGAGTCTTAGTGTGTGTTCTGTGGGGTGTTGGGAGTTTAGTTAGTATTCTGTAGGGGTGTTGGGGTCTTAGTCTGTGTTTGTTGGGTGTTGGAGTCTTAGGTGTCTTAGTGTGTGTTCTGTGGGGTGTTGGGGTCTTAGTGTGTGTTCTGTGGGGTGTTGGAGTCTTAGTGTGTGTTCTGTGGGGTGTTTGGGTCTTCAGTGTGTGTTCTGTGGGGTGTTTGGCTCTCAGTGTGTGTTCTGTGGGGTGTTTGGCTCTCAGTGAGTGTTCTGTGGGGCTTTGGGGTCTTGGTGTGTGTTCTGTGGGGCATTGGGGTCTTGGAGTGTGTTCTGTGGGGTGTTGGAGTCTTAGTGTGTGTTCTGTGGGGTGTTGGGAGTTTAGTTAGTATTCTGTAGGGGGTGTTGGGGCCTTAGTGTGTGTTCTCTGGGGTGTTGGGGTCTTAGTGTGTGTTCTGTGGGATGTTGGGAGTTTAGTTAGTATTCTGCATTACCTCTGGTCTGGCAATTTGCTGCATGAGTGTCTGCTGCATCATCTGTGTCTCGATCAGCTTCTGCTCCAGCATCTTCAGCATCTGTGCCTGTTGCTGCATAAACTGCTGCTGGACTTCATTCTGCAGATAGAACACAGTCTGTACAACCATCATCTCAATCTAGTTGACCTGGCCCCTCAATATCAACCTGCTTAAATATTTCTGTTATTAAATACACTGTTTACTCACATTCCCTGATTGCGTCTGTGGTGCAGGAGAGGTGACAGTGCTGGCCCCGGAGATGGTTGGACTTGGTTCAGAAGGGCATGTGGGAGACCCAAGCATACTGGACGTACCAATACTGTCATCTGAAATACACCAGTTTTATCCTTCACATCATAATTATAGTTATATTTATGTAATACCCCTCAGAAAATACAGCAATGTGACCCTGTATTGCACTTAAATATTTGGATGAAATGAACCCTGGCAATATACTAAATGATGTTGTGAAGGTATTACTATTGCTGACTGTAGTTTGACTTTGTGTAGGGTACATGTCCTTATACAGAAACGTACCTGGGGTACATATCTGTAGTACCTGTGCCCGACAACAATCCCTTAAGCATTACTATCAGCATCCCGTGAAGCAGGTGCTTGGCCGTGACTCTGACTGGGAAGAAATTCTACTACATGAATCACTAACTGACTTATGACTGAAATTCAGTCCACACAAGTTGGGGAACCTGAAATCGCCATGGGATGGCCTACTACCAGGACTATGTCCACACACTTAGGGGCCTCCAAATGGGGTTCCATGTTAGTCTATGAATGTTTTGTCACTTGCTGTCAATAAGGAAATAAATACTGAACTAACTACTAATAAATAGTATCGACCATGTACATTTCTATTCCTGTGAGTGGATGTGCAGGTAGTAGGGCTGGGACGGATACTCGGGTACTCGAATCCAGGTCGGGTACAGCTGGAATCGAGTCCTATTTCAAGGAATCGAGTACCCAGAAAGGGAGAGAACTCTGTAATGTCAAGGGCATGTAACTCTAACCTAGAGCAAAAGTGCTTAGTTGAGTGTTTGGGCTCATTTTGAGTTTGATGCAAATGGCAGAACCAATTGGCGACTATGTGTACCATGCTATTTATTGCAGAAACAGTACAAGTTCAATGCACAAACATCTTGCTCTAAAACACAATGTAAAACATGATGGTGTTCATTACACTGTGTAACTCTAATTGCTTATTAAGTTAGTTCATAAAAAGCAGTTAACACTACATTGAATGTTGTCTTTAGTTTATATTTCATTTCAATTTCATGAGACATATTTTACTTCTGCGTCAAAGCTGAATACATTCACCATGACAGATATTGTAATTAAATGATTGTATGTGTTGGGATTATCAATTAAAACTAATAAATTAACATACTAAAACGAACATTTATTGAAAGAGCACATTCTGATTTACAAATTCAATGTTCGGCTGATTATCATGACAATAAGAAGAAAGATAATCAGAAATATATAGAAGCACAACTTCCAATGAAGAACTCAATGTTCACTTATATACAAATTTAGAATATTTAAATAACAATAGTTTTGTGCTGTTTTTGTTTATCTAAACGTAAAAATATAGCATTTAGATGCATTTCTTTGTCGCTACATTCAAACAAAAGTATTTTAATGCGACTTTTAATAATATTCTGGAAGGATAAAAATTTAATTACGGTTAATGAGTTATTCACAGCCCGGTATTTGTCTGTATTCTGTAATGTATAATAGACACACTGTAATGTAATGCAACTGACTTGCGCAACAGAGCAAAATGACCAGTCTTCCCTCATGCGAGCCAAGCATTTTGTTATGTTGCTTAACTCAGTTGCATTACAGATTGCCGATCTGTATATCTCGTATAGAATTCTCCAGTCAGTAAATACATCAATCACATTTCATTCTATGTAAGTTTACATAAAGTCTCCATGTAAAACATTATAGGTTCAGTTAGAATATCACATCTGAATGTAGTTCAACAACAGAATAAATTGCCTTTTTTTGTAACACACATCTTTGGTATTGTCCGGTTAATGGAGGTTACTATTAACGACTGTAATTTATCTGCACGTGAGCAATGAGTAGTCAAGTCATAGTGGAATGTAAGTTAGTAATGGTGTTGCTCTTGATATCAGTTAAACGGACGTAAATTAAATAGTTTAAGATCAGTTTCAATGTCTTATTGCCATCCTTTCATGTTTTCTATAAAAATATCTGTCAAATCGTGATTGAATATTCAGAAAGTTGACAGAAGCGCTTTATTCTTGACGTTTCTGGTTACTCGATTCCGATTCGGGTAAGAACATGCGGGTACTAGATTCCCTTTTTTCCTACCCGTCCCAGCCCTAGCAGGTAGAGGCCCCAGACCTCTGCTTTGCCTGGGGGCCTATAATACTGTCAAGACATCTCTGCCCACTACTTGGTTGTATGTTCAACAAGAAGACGGACCTGCTATGAAACATTGACACTTACTGTGAGTTTGACTCAGTGAGTCGCTGGAGATTCGCCGTGGGTTTTCCATCCAGTATTTCCTGAGCCCATGCTGGGGTGGTTCCCTCTCTCCCCCCTGTCTGCTTCATCTGGTCATTGACCTTCCCTATAGTGCTGGCACTACAACCAGTCACCCAGGTGATGAACTTGTAGCAGTTGGACCTCACTCCACCTGAACATACACAATCAGGGGGGTCAGTGGGGGGTCAGTGAAGATATGAGGGGGTCAGTGAGGGGTCTGGGTGATCAGAGAGGGGTAAGAGGGTGATCAGAGGGAGTCAGGGGATGATCAATGGGGTTATAGGGGTTATAGGGGGTCAGAGGGTGATTAGTGGGGTGATAGGGGGTCAGAGGGTGATCAGAAAGGTGTCAGAGGGTGATCAGTGCGGTGATAGGGGTCAGAGGGTGATCAGTGGGGGTCAGAGGGTGATCAGTGGGGTCAGAGGATGATCAGTGGGGTGATGAGGGGGTCAGAGGGTGATAAGTGGGGTGATAGGAGAGTCAGAGGGTGATCAGTGGGGTGAGGTGATAGAGGGGTCAGAGGGTGATCAGTGGGGGTCAGAGGGTGATCAGTGGAGGTCAGAGGGTGATCAGTGGGGTGATAGGGGGTCAGAGGGTGATCAGTGGGGGTCAGAGGGTGATCGGTGGGGTCAGAGGGTGATCAGTGGGGGTCAGAGGGGTCAGAGGGTGATCAGTGGGGTGATATAGGGGTCAGAGGGTGACCAGAGGGGGTCAGAGGGTGATCAGTGCAGTGATAGGGGGTTAGAGGGTGATCAGTGGGGGTCAGAGAGGGTGGGTGATTGGTGGTCAGAGGGTGATCAGTGGGGTGAGAGGTGGTCAGTGGGGTGATAGGGGGTCAGAGGGGTGGGTGATTCAGAGGGGTGATAGGGGTCAGAGGGTGATCAGTGGGGTGATCAGTGGGGGATAGAGAGGGTGATCAGTGGGGTGATAGGGGTCAGAGGGTGATCAGTGGGGTGATCAGTGTGGGGGTCAGAGGGTGATCAGTGGGGTGATAGGGGTCAGAGGGTGATCAGTGGGGGTGAGAGGGGTCAGAGGGTGATCAGTGGGGTGATAGGGGGGTCAGAGGGTGATCAGTGGAAGGTCAGAGGGGTCAGAGGGTGATGAGTGGGGTGATCAATGGGGTCAGAGGGGTCAGAGGGTGATCAGTGGGGTGAGGGGTCAGAGGTGATCAGGGTCAGAGAGGTGATCAGTGGGGTCAGTGGGGGAGGGTGATCAGTGGGGTGGGGGAGTGATCAGAGAGGTTGATCAGTGAGAGGAGAGGGGTCAATTGGACCTCACTCCACCTGAACACACATAATAAGGGGGTCAGTTTGGGCCCTCTCCTTCAACCTAATCACTTTAGCATACATCATGCATATAAAGAGACATTTCAGTTTTTAAGTCGGAAATACCCTGTTTCTTGATATCACTCACTGTCAATATATATCACACAAACCAAAGTGCTGATACTGACCTGTGAAAAACATTTTGCCATTTTTTAAACATTATGAAATCACCATTCTCTGCATTGTTTGGTGTATGTGATAATCTGTCAATCATCAAATCTCCATTCTCTGCATTGTTTGGTGTATGTGTTAATCTGTTAATCATCAAATCACCATTAATAGTTCTAAAATCTCGACCACAAACATAGAATCCTTTTGAACATTTCTGAAATTATGCAAACACAAATGCAGAAGTGAGATTTCCTCTATATTGAACATCCTCGATAATCTCCAGGGCATACGTTACGATAAAATCTCCACTAGTACACTGGATGCATCTACGGCGCCGATGATTTTATAACCTCCCTTTGCTGGATCCGCATTCTCACAGTAGCCAATCAGCTAAGCCGCCGTTACAACCGAGCTTGCCAGTGTCAACAAAGATAGCGGTCGCAGCTTCAAAGGTTTGTTCGCACTGCGCCTCAGATTTGGGGGAAAATCATACAGACAAACTGACAGGTCTGAAACCTTAACAAATATATGCAAGCACTCTTTCTACCTCTTTCAGAGTACCTCTGCTACAATTATGTTGCCAAGTTTAATCGGTTGGATAAAAGAAGCGAAAGTGAGTTGTGATTGGTATGCTCAACTTCATAGCGTAGACACCTGATTTGATGAAAGCCAGCCAAGGGAGGTAATAAAATCATGGGGCTGAGCCGTAGATGCATCCAGGGTTTAGTGGAGATTTATTGTAACGTATACCCTGGAGATTATCGAGGATGTATATTAAATAGTGTTTGCAAAACCCCATTTCACATAGGCAAGTCATGAGATGCCCGTTACATGACGTAGACATCACACACAGCTGCAGCATACTCCCTGAAGTCAACCAGTGTTGTATCAAATGACAAATGTCACCATTATAAAGTCTCCAGATGTAACCCATCAAAACACATCTGGTGTGAAAACAACACTTGTTTCTAAATCAGTGCTTGTTTGCAATGTAAACAAAGGAAAGTTAAGATTTTACACTGTGCAGCATTTCCTGCAGTTTGGAGAGATCCATTCATCTATTCTATTCGTACACAGGCTCAATATTTTTTAGAATATGCATTAGAAGAGTATCGTATAAATAGGAATAATGGAGGTGAGGTGAGGTGAAATTGGGTTAAACGTCGTGCTTGAGAATATTTCGCTCATATGACGACGTGCATGCGTGTGTATGTGTATGTGCGGGTGCTTGTACTAGCCCAGACTGAAGCCTGTTGTATAGTGCTAGTCCACTGAGATATCATGCCGCAGTGAAGCATGAATACCCCACTCAGACACATTATACTGACTCGGAGCCGACCAGTCCTTGTTGTACCCATTAATGCCGAGTGCCAGGCAGGGACCAACAAGTACCATATTTTAATGTCTTTGGGTATGACGCGGTCAGGGATCGAACCCGCAACCTTCCGCTCTCCGGGCGGATGCTCTAACCACTACACCTCGGAGGCGGTCAGGAATAATGGAATTAAAATAGAAAGATTACAATGATTTGGTAAATTTAACAGAAAGATTACAATGAATACTTTCTGTCCTGCATGTGACTTGGCTACAAAGAAATACATCAGCCAAATAACATGCAGATAGAGTCTTTCGGAGTACTTACATCACAAATGTATTCACATTACATCCTTGAATAAACATAAGCTCCCTTACAAAAAATCCCACATAACAATGTCAGTAAAAAATCGGCCACCAGAACAAGCAGCTACATACTGCTCCTGCAAAGGGAGGTAACTGCTCGGTTCATTGGATCTGATTGTTCATAGCTTTGCAGCAAGTCAGTGCTGGAATATTCTGTTGCAGCACAAAACACTCACCAGAGGGAGTTAACATCTCCGCCAGTACTCTCCTCGCCTCTTGTTGTCCCGATGCTGCTCTCTCTCTCCACTGTAACAGCAGGCGATGGTGGGTCAAGGCCATCTGACAACATGCAAGTGTACAGTTTCACAGATTGTCCCGTGTGCGAAATAAACACTGGCCTGCTAGCCCGTGGCTAGTAAAAATCCAGTCAGGTCAGTAAATCTCCAGTCACTGGTCCGACTGACTAGTGAATTTTCATGGGGTCATTTTGTAACTATATCACTCTCTCCGAATTGCTAAGTTATAATACACTTTTAAATCATGCAAGATTATGGCCTGATAAAAATGTTTGTCATATTAGCAGCTTGATGATGAAACCCATGTTGCACATTCGGATACAGCTTTTGAGAAAGGGTGGTGAACACTATTGAGAAAAGGACTGGGTAGCACACTTCATTTTCACCTGAGTTTCAATGGTCATTTAACAAACCTTCAGCACAAAGGGTGGGTGGGGTTGGGTTGACATTCAAATTTTGGGCTTGTGAATTATGCCATCAAGTTGTCAAAATGTTTAGCGAATCAGAAAGAGTAATTCCTCAAACTGTGGGACAAGTATACTAAGCAGCAAAAGAAACGTCAGTTTGGAATTTTCCTTTGCAGAAACGGATAACTGTAAACTCATTTAATGTTTTGATTGTATATTTTTGACAACATCTCCAACTTTACCTGAGNAGAATTCCTTCCCAAACTCAGAATGGAACCCAGGAAATGGTCTCAAAAACGCAACCTGATATCAGAGATGGTACGGTGTTCTCCATGCTTTTCATGCTACTCATGCTGCACGTGCTGTTCACAAGGACCAGCCCTATAAAATGAACCCCCCAAACCTGGTTGAAACATTCACATTACAACGTCAGCAGGATGCCGCGACTCACGACAGCTCAGAGGAACCAGGCGCTTGGAAGCCTTTAGCTGGCCACACTGCACAAGCCGTTGCCAATCACTTCCAGGTCAACGTTCGGACCATCTACAGGCTGCAGCAACGTTTCCGGGCCAGCCACACCACAAAGACGACAAGACCGCCATGTTGTGCGACAGCATGTACAGAATGCAGGCATCCGAAACAGCGCGCCAGACAGTGGGAACACACGGAAGCCCATTCAGTACTGATACAGTATGCCGACGTCTTAAGAGCGCGAACCTCCATTGCTGTAGACCTTACCGTGGACCTATCCTCACCCCTCATCATCGGTGTGAACGTCTACAGTTTGCCCTACAACACCAAAACTGGCGATGCAGGCAATGGAGAACTGTTCTGTTCACAGACGTGGCCAGCGTTACTCAGACCAATGTGTTATGGAAAGTGACTCATGGGGAGGTGCAAGCATCATGGTATGGGGTGGAATAGGCCTGAACCAGAGAGTGGGTCCTGTGGTGTTCCAGAATACCACATTTTAATGTCCATTACTGGAACAACATTTGTCAGGGGACTTGTTCTATGCAGGTTGGTCAACGCAACGTTATTACCTGCAATTATATAATCCCTACTGAACATCTTAGGATGAAAATTCACTTTGAGTCATAGACTGAAGCAATCTTCATGACCTAAAACCATCGACAGAAGCCGATTTATTGCGCCAGGCCTTTCTCAGAGTCTTGTTCCAGGTGCCACGCCCTCATCAATCCAGGGATTGGTGCACTCCATGCATAGAGCGCCATGTTGCAGTTATTGCCTTTCGTGGTGGTCACACTAGATACTGATGTCAAGCGAGTCTGAATGGACTGCAAACGTTTTCGTAATGTCTTGAAATTATGCTGAGTTATTCATTGATGTGTCAGGATATTGTACACAAAAAAATGTTTTTGA